AGCAGGACAATCTTAGGAAATATCCATATGCATCATGTCAGAGGCACTGTATATATTTCAGTTGGGTTAGCACAACTGTACTCTTACTGGCAGTATCTTTCTAATCATGATGAGAAACTCCAGATTATCCAAAGGAGTCATCTGTAATGAAGCAGATTATAAACAAAGGGCCAGCACCCCAATCTCAGTTGCACTGGTGCAAATCTAGAGAAAATCCACCTAAATCAGTGGAGTGACTTCAAATGTACATGGATGTGCATGAGATCAAAGTCCTGAGCCGCTGTTGATATCCAGACCTGGCAACAATTTTCCTGAAGCTCTTTGCAAAAAAACAAAGCCTTTTTTGGGGCGAGACTTTTGTCTGATCAATGCAGTTGGAAATGTCTTTCTATTATTAACATACTTGCTGAAGTTAAGCATTAGTTTCACTTTTTCAAGAATGTAATACAGCTGCATTTTCTGGAGAGAAACACCATCAAAAATATGTTAACCATATAGTCAACAGCTACGCCTTGTTTACTCTTATGCATAAAACCATATGGAGACAATTCTGTAAGGAAACATTTTTCAACCTTCCTATGGACAAAAAACAAAAAAACAAAAAAACCAAAAAACAAAATCCAAAAAAGCAATGGGAAAGGATTGAATGGAACAAGTCCTGGCTTCTGCTGTGCTGGTGAGCAGGAGGGACCAGAGGATGCAGGGAACCTCGAACCTCACCCCAACAAGCAGTCAGACAAGATTGTTCTTTCATGAGCTAGAGCACTGATGGTCACCAGAGTATTAGCAACCATGCCGTGGACACGAACTTGCAAGGAGTGGAGCACTGTTGCTGGCTCCCAGTCACAGGATGAGGCCTTTGTCCCCTAGGAGTGTATTCTGGAGGTTGCCAGGAAGGGTGTGACATTTACCCCTCTATAGGACAGACACAGGCTGGTAAGTATACGTGCTGAATTCAGCAGCAGCTGCCACAAGAGAGAGACTATGCTTTTCCTCTAAAGAAGAGGGAAGTGCACTGGGTAGGATGTCAACTTGTTGCACCCTGAAGCACCCTGCCTTTGGCTGGCTGGAGTCCTTAAAAGCCACGTGCTCCCCATAAAGGCTCTCACTGTGCCAATCAAGGCACTTTTTGGTTCCCCAGAGTGACATAATATTGTTTGCACTGAGCATTAATGAAGTCCTGTCCTGTATTTTAGCTCCCTTAACACTGATCTTCACTGGCTCATTTAACTCATGCTCCCTTGTAACCCATTTTTGAGTCAAGTCTTGGTTGTACTAAAGAGTGAATTTTGATCAATGAGCTGCCAAGAGCGGTGCTCCTCTGGGACAACAAAGCCCAGGAGAAAGCCTGGAAGAGTGGGAGCCAGTCTTGTGATGGGATCTGGGACGGACGAAACGTCCAGAGGAAATCAGGCAGATGTACAGCCTGACCATCCATCCTTGGGAAACACTGAGTAATCTTCCTCTTTGAAAAAGCCTTTCCCCCACAGGAAGAATAGCGCTCCCCATCTAACTAGTGCTCCTGAGGCCTCCATTGCTACCCTGCCTGTTAAACTACAGTGCTTAAACCCAGCCTGTACCAGACTGACAGGAAAACGCATGTGGTAAAACCCAAATTGTGTTCAGAGGGAATTGCACTGTTTATAGGCACAGTGAGGTTAAATATTAGCCATATGGAGCCTGGTTAGATTAAAGCACAAAGAAAAGATACGAGTCCTTTCATCAGACAACTGTACCACAAAGTCTGCACAACAAGGGAGGACTATAGGACACGTGAAAGAGTCCTACCCACATACAGAAATCTGCAAATATTTTCTACTCAAGTCTTTAATCTTCAGAAGAACAGATGATAAAAGCTCTTCCTCCCTTAACCCCAATGTTATGAGCTCCGTGGCTCTGTACTTGCACAATTAGCAGCAGCGGCGTGTATTTGGCATTTGTTGTGACAAACAGTAAATTCATACAAAACCTTAGGAGGGCTAAAAAGAGACAGCGTATCCAATAGGACCAATGGCATGATAATAAAAGATAAATGGTGGAAAAGACTAGCTAGCTAGCTTCCTTGGGGCAGGGACTTGACACTTCTCTAAAGTCCCAGGGTACGTGTGTACTTAAGATATCACATTAGTATTTGATAAAAAGGCTGCCAGTTATAACGAAGAAAAGTCTAATTATGCAATAGAACAATGCACCCTCAGCAGGTTCCTACTGTTTATCAAAGCACTGTACAAACAGTCAGATGAAAACATGCTTTGGAGGCACAAAAAGCAGAATCCTTAACCGGGCTCATTTTGAAATGGAAGCCCCTCATTAGGGTAGCCAAACCGTGCTCTTAGCCATGCAGGCTGGGCCTCTTCCAGCCCCTGACGTCAATGGCAAAAGTCCTGCTGCCATCCTTGCTGCAGAATGTGGCCCATTGACCTTCTCTGAGGTTCACCATGTCTGTACCTCAATGCAGAGTTTACCAAATGTGGGCTTCTGATAGGCCTTTAAGGTGTTTGTGGTGGAGAGCAAGATCCAGCTCACGTAAGCAGAACAAGGGTAGAAGGGACTGTGGACTATCATCTCATGTATTTGTGCCAAACCTCGAATTACTTGAGCACAGGAGTGAGAAAGACACTTCAATTTTCAGCTGCTTTCCCTTGAATTTCTGTATTGTTTCCAAAAGAAATTTGCTGTGAACGGTGTCTCCTATTCAGCACTTCTTTTTCATTATTATTATTTAGACACAAAACTCATTGGTGAGAATGGATCCATTGATTAAAACAAAATAGAGTTATTATTTGACCAGAATACATGCCCCTCCACTGCTGTCCCTGACCCATGCTGAACCTGTTTGGCCTTACTATTGCATTATTGTGCAAGTGTAATTCAGTGGAAAAGAGATTGGATTAAACAGGAGGAGTAAATAAAGGGAACATGCTTTAAAGAGTAAATAGACATGTTTGGGTATAATGGAATAACTCCTGACAGTGCTTAATCAAAGAGATACAATAATGCCCTTTCTAAAATCTGAATGTAGATTTTTGTCTCACTCTTAGAAAAAACGCGTCACACTGCCAGTGAAGGAATGAAACAGCTTCACTAAGGACGTCTCCATACGCAAATATTACGGCTGGAAACAAAAAGAGGAAAGACGAACAGCACTGACAGGATCCCTCTAAATGAGATATGTTTGCTGTGGAAGCAGAGGCTGACTTCTGCACAAGGTATAGCTCTACCCTGGGGGGGAAAACGTAAAAACAACTATGATTGGATCCCATGGTTATGGTTGCCTTGATTTTCTAAGCCAAACATACTCTGCCAGCAAGATGTTTTTTTCTAATGGCCAGCCCTGCTACTTCAACCCAGATGACAAAGGCCACATCCTAAGCTTCTCATTCTAGGTCCGGCTGATGTTGCCCCAGCACTGCAAAGGGAACCTGAAGATTTTTAAGGCAGCAACTGAAGGCTTCCTAGTGTGGGGACAGCTACTAAAATAGCCATCCACTCCCGCCCAGGCCAGTGTAGGGTGTTCCAGGCCTGTATGGGACGGATGGCCCGTGGTGCACCCTGGTGCTCTTGGCTGATAAGGAAACACCTTGAGAATCATTATTTGCCCGCATAATCTAGAGCAACTCTAAGGCTGTTCTACCTTGCTCAAAGGCTGATTTAACCTGCTTCCCCCAAGATGAAATGTGGAAAGCCAACATAAAACCACTTCCCACCCCTATCTTCAGCCATTTTTCCAAGGGTATGCCCTGAAAAATCAAGCTCGGTTCCTTCTATCTCATGCACCATCATCAGGACTGAATAAAGTTTTTGCCAACATAGGCTTATAACTGTGGTTTCATTCATATCAGCGTAGATCAGGACTACCTCAACCAACTAACCAGAGGGCACATCTGCACAAGACACTACAGTGCAGTCATTATTGTGAACATCTTTTAGATAATGCTACCATGCAGTAGCCAAATAATACTGCACAGGTAACGTGTTAGCACTGTCCATGCTGTGACACACTACTGGCCAGTGCACACTCAGCATCTCATGTAGATGTGCCCAGAATCACATCAGCATGGTGTAAACTCATAATTAAACTTCTAAACCTCTCCCTCCTTGGTAACCTGTTGTCTTTACTGTTCTAGCAAAAGTATAATCGGTTGGCTCTGTAATGGTACTTAGTTACCAATTCTGCTGGCATGGCATAAAATGGAATAGAGACTCACTCTCTGAGCTGTCTTGGCCCAGGAAAATTAACAAGCCTAAAAGGCCTAAAGATAATTCCCAATAATAATAATTATAAGATATTCCTATAATAATAATAATACTATAATAATATTGCCATACTAATTAAACCCACACGTGATTCTGTGTGCATGCAGGGATCAAATCTCTAAATAAGAAGGTGATATTTGCACACAGTCACTTTTCAGAGGAGAGGTGCCCTTTCACCATCAGAAACAATCAGACAAGGGAATGAATGGTACAGTCACAGGGTGATGTTTATTTCTTCTTGACTTCCAGAGCAAATCTGCTCAGTGTACAAACTAAGAGAGCATTTTCCTAACAAGAACACAGGGCAGTAGATCTGGGATCTGAAATCAAGCTCTCTTCACTCTGCCTTGATTTGCCCAGCAATTAAGATGCTAATGTCAGAGGCTAGCTGAACAGTTTTGATGATTTAAAATAGACTCCCGCTTCACCATCTATAGTTGTGTTGGTGCTGCTGTGCTAAGTAGAGGGAAAATGATTACTTTTGGTGGCAAGTAGACATATAAGGATCACATGCTTCCAATGAGCAGTTTCTATATTGTAACTGTCCTAACCAAAACCACACATCTTAATCATTTTTTGCATAAGAAATTTGCTAATACAGAAAGGATGAGAATGAGTTAAATAATTCTAGCCCCAGTTTGACTCATTAATTTGGAGAAACAGATGACAAACATGAGCTACAAGACTAGAGTTCAGCCCTTTGATGTTAATAAATGAAAAGAGGGAAAGAATTATTTACAGTGTAAAATTATAAGGTACCAAATATATATTCAAGGAATATGTCTTCACAAATACCAGAATATCAAAATCTAGGACTGCCACGAGGGAAACAAGGTACGTTTTAAGGCTAGGAGAGCTTATGATGATCACCTTGTCTGCCCTTCTGTCTAACCCAAGACGCAGAAACTCATCCAGTAATCCCCAGATATAGCCAAATTATTGTGGGTGAATTCAAGCATATCTAAGAGTCAGGTCACCTAAACAATGAAATAATTTGCCACAAAGCGTCACTGAGGTTGCGTTCAAAGGCGTTCAAAAGCCAATAAGAAAAAAACAAGTAGAGTACAGTCCTCCCTTGGGATCCAGATACACAGCTCCCCAAAAGTTCAGCATTGCTGTGTGTACCCATCCACAGGCAGAATGGCAGGGTACAGAGCTAATACACAGTTGAGGAAAGTACTGATCCAGTAGCTCTAAACCTCCTGGATCATCTTGCCTCGGTCCCCGCATCACTGTGTGCACGGGTTTCCCGCTGTAGTCAGAAAGGAGCAGTTACAGGAAGAGTCACTGCAGCTATACATTGGGCAGGATTTACTCCCAAACCACTGGGTTTTGTTTTCACAGGGAAACCACAGAGCATGCTTGGGTTCAAAAAATCCCTAAATGATATTTTCCTAAATAAAAAACAGGTACTGCAAGATAAAAGAATAATTACCATGTGGTAAATTGCTCTGTGTTGTTTGAAAACCATAGAGCAGTAGAATTGTCTGAGTTAAATAAAATCTACTGCCACTGAGAGATGCTTTGCAAATAGCAAATGGAAGAGGAATGGACTCGTGTTGTTGTAACTAAACCAAGAACTACGTCCATTGTGGGTAAGCTGAGTTTGTTAAAACTTGAAGCAAGTCAGTCTGCCTAATATGACATATGGCTAATCAGTCTGTTTGTCTAATATGATAGCAAGATGCATCCTAAAGTCCCTAATAGGGTAGGACATGTTAATTATTAGCAGTAGCTATGTAAACAGCCCCCCAAAGTGTGCACGGGGTTAATTGGATACAATATGTTTACTGCATGTGAAAGCAAGCTTGCTGATTATTCTGAAGTGAGGCAAAGCTGAAGGAGATTGAGTGTAGGTTAACATAATGCCACTTTAACACCTCCTGATGAATTCATTCCTATGCCAGATTTGCACTTCGCATTATAATAATGAACTCTGACAGGATGTTTGTCAGACAGGCCCCAAAATGTGTATTTGATTCTTTGGGTGTGTACTTTACAATCTAATTAGAATTTTTTTTAATTACACTGAGCTTTTCTATTGATTTTCTCCACCTACAGATGAGGATGTGTGAATTAACCTTGACTTTCCTAGTTAAGACTGACACCCGAGTCCAAGAAAGCCAGCACCTTTTTAAATTCAATTACTGGGGGAGTGCTGGGGGGTGGGGGTCCATCTTTGTGTTTCTATCATGAAAAAATAGATTTTTCAATCAACCTCACCAATCCCACTTTAAATCCTATTCACAAGCTTGCACAATAGCTATGGGGGAGGGTTACTCTGTTCCCACCATTCTTGAAAGCTAATTTTGTGCTACTTTCTCCAGATCTGCAGTCTGGGTATGATCAGAATCTAAGCCCACATCCAACTTCCTACAATTGTGCTGGAAAACAGTCCCTGAGTATAATCCTGTCACTAGGAACCCTTGTTGAACAAGGAGAAGCTAACGCTACATACCACTAGCTTGCATGGTCTTCCCAGTGCCACATTATGACATGCGGAGGCCCTAAACTACGTACAGTTTAAGAGGCCCCATACGATAAAAATAATCCACGAAATCCATGAAAATGGATTTTCATGAAATTTTAAGATGGATTATTATTTCTGCACAAGTGTATGAACTCAATATGAATAAGAACTGTGGAGCCATATATATGTATATTTTTGTCATATTAAAACAAAAATGTCCAGTTTCTTTTTCTTATTTCGAGGCCCCTCATATTGTGAGGCCATAAGTAGCTTAAGCCTAAATCTGGCACTGGGTTTTTCTGGGAGGTCCCAATCTTAAATAATTGCCTAAAAATCAGTAGGGATTCACAAACTCAGAACACATTCAAGGCTATGGGGTTGTGGTTTTATAACCCTGATAAGTGGGAATGCCCGATGTTTGTAGACACAACCCAGGTGTTTCAAACACCTTACACTCATGCCTTAGTAGTTTAGGTCTTTTTCCCAATCAGTGTGCTTTTTAATCAACTGGCAATGCTGCCTATGGGCAGAGCTGATACCGTCTCATCCTAGGAAAGCTCCCAGTGAAGTCTGAATGAAGTCAGGGTCCTGGGCTTAAGTAATAAAACCATCTCTGTAATGTACAGCAAGCTGTTTTCAGCACATACCCAGGATTAAATTTCTCTCTGTCAGCAAACTGATATAAGCAGTATCTAATTTTTTCAACATGTTCATCAATTATTACTGTACTTCGTATCCACACACAAAATACAACATACTACCGTCATTACTAAATTGCCATGTGGATACACATAGAGCCTTTTATTCACGCATCTCAAAGCACTATGCAAACTTCAGTATATTTAGCCTCCTACTTCCTCTCTGAGGGGTTACTATCATAGAATCAAAGAAAGTTAGGGTTGGAAGGGACCTCAGGAGGTCACATCTAGTCCAACCCCCTGCTCAAAGCAGGATCACCCTTAACTAGATCTTCCCAAGCAAAGGTTTGTCCCGCCGGGTTTTGAAAACATCCAAGGATGGAGCTTCCACCACCTCTCTGGGTTATCTGTTCCAGTGCTTTACGACTGTCCTGGTGAGAAAATTCTTCCTAATATCTAACCTAAATGTCCCTTGCTGCAACTTGAGATGATTCCTCTTGTTCTGTCACCTGCCACCACTGAGAACAGTCCAGCTCCATCCTCTTTTGAACCCCCTGTCAGGTAGTTGAAGGCTGCTGTTAAATCCCCTCTCAGTCTCCTCTTCTCTAGACTAAGTAAGTCCAGTACCCTCAGTCTGTCTTCATAAATCATGCCCCCCAGCCCCCAAATCATATTTGTCGCCCTCTGCTGGACTCTTTCCAATTTGTCCACATCCTTTCTGTGGTGGGGGGCCCAAAACTGAACGCAGCACTGCAGATATGGCCTCACCAGTGCCGAATAGAGGGAAATAATCACTTCCCTTGACCTACTGGCAACACTCCTACCAATGCAGCCCAGTATGCCGTTAGCTGTCTTGGCAACAAGGGCACACTGCTGGCTCATATTCAGCTTCTTGTCCAGTGTAACCCCCACCTCTTTTTCTGCAGAGCTGCTGCCCAGCCAGCTAGCCCCCAACCTGTACCGCTGCATGGGATTGTTCCGTCCTAAGTGCAGGACTTTGCATTTGTCCTTGTTGAACCTCATGAGATTACTTTTGGCCCAATCCTCCAATTTGTCTAGGTCACTCTGAATCCTAGCTCTCCCCTCCAGCATATATACTGCCCCTCGCCCCCAGCTTGGTGTCATCTGCAAACTTGCTGAGGATGCACTCTATGCCATCTTCCAGGTCATTCATGAAAACATTGAACAAAACCGGCCCAGGACCGGCTCCTGGGGCACTCTACTTGATACCGGCTGCCAACTAGACATCATTACCCCCATTTTACAGATGAGCAAACTGAAGCAAAAAAAAAAACAGTGATTCAGCCAGAGGCAGCTATAGAAACCTGGGAGTCAGGACTTACAGTTCTTTTTACTAATCACTACATCACAGTCCTTTGGTATGGTCATTTCTCATTAAAAATAAAGAGAACATTTTGGTCAGATGAAAACAAAGAGGCTTCACTTTTCGTTTGTGCTTTGCCTTTGGGCAGCACATTATTACTGGGGAGAGACCTAACACTCTCACACCAACATAGCTGAATGGCATTCAGAGGAGAGGGCTTCCTACCAAGGGCATACCAAAGCCTTGGCATAAAGAATACTTATGCCAGATGTCACTCTCTCTCTCTCTTCCTCTGTCTCTCTCCACCAGTCCAGT